TCAATCATCATCTACCTCATCATCTTCCTTCTCATCAGCCGCATCATCCTCATCCTTCTCATCATCATTCTTATCTTAATCACCATAATCATAATCATCATTACCATCATCCTCATTATTATCGTCATCATCATTGTCATCATTACCATTATCATTTTCATCATTATCCTCTTCATCATCAGTCAATACCATCATCATGAGGATGATGAAGATGAGGATGACAAGAATGAAGATAACGACAAGGGTGAGGATGAGAGGGATGATTCTCATCATTCATCATCATCATTCTCATCAATCATTTTCTATCATTCTCATCACCATCATCACAATCATTACCATCAACAACCATTATCATCAATCGTAATCACCATCATCTTCTTCCTCACCATCATCTTTCTTCTCCTCATCATCATCAACATCCTCCTTATAAAGGGGAATATAATGAGGATGGGGATGACAATAAGGAAGATGATGATGATAATAATAATGACATCAGTATATTAAAAATAACAGTACTAACGCTAATATTAATGTGAATTTATAAACTATAAATTTTTTTAAACGCACAAGAGTAATGGTATACTATATTAATAATATAATAGAGTAACAACATAATAGTATACTAATGATGATGAAGAAAAATGTAGTGTAGAAAGATTAAATTTAATTAGGTAAACATTTCTCTTAAATTTGATTGTCGTAGTCTTGGAATTCGGTGTGTTGACGTCATCATTCCAAATTTGCTTGGGAGGTGGGGAATTCCCCTCTGACAGGCCTAAACTCCCATCGTCCGATGCCTCGACAAGGTTGCCACACCACAAATAATGATTTGCTTATCCATATAACATTATTTTGATTGCCAATCCCTAATATTTTGGCTTAAAAGCAAAATTTTGGGCCATACAAAGCTAAAAAGAAACTCTCCCATAAGCCCAGGGAAGTTTATTCCGGGACTCTGACCGAGGGTCTAGTCGGCATATTTTTAAATTCCTGTATGTATAATATTGTATTGGGATTATATTTCGATATACTTCGATAACAATAAAATTATTTTTACATTAAAATCATAGTTTTTACCACCTTAATGGACGCCATCTTGGAATTTATCATGATGACGTCATCATTCCGATCAAATTTTTAAATGAGAGTGATGAGTAACTATTTAGACAAGTTGGTGTTACATTTCATATCCACAGTATATGTAAAAGTGACCAAAAACATAAATTTATTTCCCCTACCCCCATCCTTAATAGTTTAAAATAGGGTATTTTAGGTCAAAATTTCAAAGTGCTGTAAAAAAAATTTCCCAAGCCCTAGGCATGGGGATTTTTTTTTCTGAGACACTATAGGGTATGCTGATTCAGAAAAACCAAAAATTAATTTTCCTTTACTTTTTTCCCGCTAAAGTTCATTTCAGCAGTTTTACAACCAGACTATTATATAAGTGTAAGAAAAGAAGTTAAGCTTAAAATAGGAAGTGTATGTAATAAAAGAGTAGCCTACTAATGTGTACACACAAGAAGCACACACAAAAGGCGAGTGACCTTTTTTTATCATGGTAAATGAAGGAGGGTGGCTAGCCACCCTATTCACCCCCTAGATTTGCAACAGCATACACCTACATCCCAGTTGTAGTATTGATCGTGTACAAGAAAAGGAGTAATATATTTTGTATCCTGTATTGGTGAAATGTTCTTACTTCACCTTGAATTTAGGAAGTAGAAGATTACAATTGTCTGCTAGGCTAAGACAATCTGATCATAAACAGATTTTAATTTCATTTTTGCCTCAAGAGGGTGCAGTTCATTTCTGGAGCATACACTGATAGATTTAAAACTAATTGTTCTGAAGGTTTTCACAGTGGCAATACAAAATTCTAGAAAAAAAAAATCATAGCGCACTCTATTTTTAGAATCCATTGCCCCTGGAAAATATGAGTTTGCCATTATATAGTACTTCATAAACTTTAATTTCTAAAATATTTCCCCTATTAAGACAGCAAGAAATATTAAGTAAATTCTTTCTATTTGTTGGTGCATTATTAGATTAGTGTTTTCAGAGCGGACTTGAGCTGTAAATTAGGCCATGAAATTGCAATATCAATATGAGTATTGGCATTTAGAATGAAATCAAAGTAGACCCCTAGGCAAGTTATGGCTTATACACTCTATGATTTAATTGCATCTACATGCTAGTTTTATGCCAACGTTTGTTATTACAGGATCTATTAACCCAGCTCTTCAATGACCTACCGCAATCAGCCTATGAGCCAACTTGTACCCTTCATACATGTTGTGGGGAGCAAAATTGTTATCTTATATCTACTTGGATGGATCATCAATCATTTATTATGAAAACACCTTGAAAAAACCCCACACTGTTTTCATGTATTTTTTATCATTGACTGGCTGATTTGCTGGTGTCTTTTCCTCAGCCCGAGGCTTGATCTTAAGGAGCTAGAATCGGCACCATGGGAACGGTGTGCCTCATTATAAGTTAGTGTAATAGCTGTCATTTTACACGTGTCCTCATGCAGTGTATTAAAATTCAGTTGCTGCTACTAAATACCCGCACTATTGGCAAGGTGTTTAGCAGAACACGATGTCATTTTACAGCTATCTGTAGGCAAAACTGAATACCGGCGCCAGGCTTTCTGATACATTAGGCGCAAATAGGACTTCGGATATAGTTTTGGTTACTATTATTATAGAAATCTTTTGTAGACTAAACTATCGTAAATGTCAGTACATTGAACATTCCAAGTTCAAGTGTCAATTTTCAATGGGTTACAGTACACACTTATAGTGAGGTGTTTTCCACTTGTTTAAAAATCATCATTTTTAAACATGAATCAATATCATATAAGAAATCCATAATGTAATAACTACACTTGTTTCCTTTTTTTAGCTGTACAAAAACAGGAATATTCAGCCTCTTTCTGTGTTTTTGTCAAATGCTTTTAATCATTTTTAATTTGCAATGTCTAATTGGCACTGAATATATTTTGTTTCTATGCTGCAGCACACATTGCAGAAAAACTCAGCAAAAGACACTGCTCAAATAGCATTTGTACTTTGCTGCGATCATTTGCAACATGAAGTAGGCCTACTCATCTTCCCAAGTGCACCTAAAATTGAGGCATCACACTTTGCAGGCTTTTACCTCTGACATTACATTAGATGGTAGGCTACTATATAAAGATATTAAGAAGGAGGTCTGGGCAAGGATTTGCCTGCTTAAAGTACATTGGTATTAATACTGTAGATCATGTGAGAAATCTCAGTGAGGAAAATAGATAGCTTAAGATTTAGTTATTATTCAAGGTGAGTCAAGTGCATTACTCCTTGGCCACTCGGCTCACCTTGAATTTAACAAAATTTAGTTATTCAAGATGGCCGAGTACCCAAGGCGCCGCTGAATAAACCCTTTACATTGGCGCTGGTTCGAGCTGCCTCTTACATAGGGTATAACAATAATAATAATAATATACTTTATTTAAACACAGAGACACTTGAATCACCCATGGTGTTTTTCATCAAGGCCGAAGGCCATACATAATTAAAAAAGAAAAAAATTATTGAAAAATGAATTAAAGAAAACAACAAAAACATAATATCTTAACTACCAGTAAAACTATCCCCGCCGGACACCAACCCGGTATTTCTAAGTTTCGGGGATGACAATGGATAAAATCAAAAAATTTTTATGAAGACTTTGCTTGAAAATATGGAGATTTGAAGAACATTTATGTTCATCGGAAAGGTCATTCCAAAGCATAGCACCATGATATGAGAGCCTAATTCTCAGATAAGGATTTAAAAGGGAGGTCCAGTGTAGACATCTAACTTGTGTTCACTTTAAAGAACCTATTGCATATTTCGGAATTGTAGGGGGTAAACCCAATGCTATACATAAATCAGTGTTATTCTCTAATGAATGAATATATTTTTCCTTTTTATCCAATCTAAATATTTGAAATAGGAAATTTTGGCTGGGGACTCGCAGCAGCCACAGTGCAGCGCCAGTACCAACATGTAACGGATACATTGTCCCTTATCCCACCTAACTCTCATGCGAAGGTTATTCAAGGAGCCGAGAGATCTGATGCTGGCCCAGTATAAACCAGGGTCTTCAGCACAAGAAGCTGGAATATTACTCCTTACCCAAACACTCAGCTCTAGGCCTATATACTGTACATTGTAAAGCAGGGGAGTAACTGAGATACATCCTTTAGATAGCACAGAAATATCAATTGTTATCCCCTAGTTTAAAGTTGTTTATTCTCCGCAAATCAAATAGATGGTTGTCATTTTTTTTAAATAGAAGAAAATTTCTGCCCAAAGTTACTGTTGAGTGTTAGCGATCCTATGGACATAATCAGACAAGAGAAGTAGATTTGTCATTACCATATATCTGATATTGAATGATCATCAAACATAGCTATGGGCTCAAGTTTTGGGTCGCAATTAATTTGAACAACATTGGAACCTGGCCATCAGTCTTGCAGATATCTGGCTATATTATTTTTGTATTAATATTGATTTTTGTGCCAGTCTGATAAAACACTCTACTGTAAATTGGCTTCTGGACCTAACAAGATTGATTTATTAATTTCTTCCACGTCTTTCAATTACGTCTCCTTCTACGACTTCAATTTGTAAATATATGCAATATTTTTAATTGCACTAAACCTATAAGTTACTGCAGTGATCCTACATTATCCCTATGTATGTGTGTCCTATTTGCAATAATGTCATGTATACCAATATTGAAAAGTACCTTTTTTTTATCATAGGGAGGTTTCGCACATGAACGCGTACGGTTAGTGTGACGGATACGTCATCATTTTGACGTCATACACCACCAGCCAGCCACTAAACGTGTGGATGACACGCATATCTCGCTCTCTACACGTAAGTGAAAAATGCGTAGGGAAATTATTGATTTCTAGTAAGATCTTCATTTATTTTTTCACATTTTACGTAAGTGTAAAAAATAAATGCATCTTTGAATACGTACTGTACGTGCCATTTTTGTGACATTTGAAGACAGAAAATTATGATAGGATGCGTCTCATTTTGGGGTATCAAAACATTGGTGCTTTGACCTTGGTGGTGTCGGGATTTTGTGCAGGCCTAGGCCTACTTATAGCCAGGCATTTTTGGGTCATAAACAATAATAACCAACATTTTTGGACAACAAAGGAAGTATTTTTCGGCTACAATTTTCAATTTCAATTTCCAACAAAACCTTATATACTAATGAAACTTTGAGAAGCATGATTAGAGAAGAGAACAGAGTATAGCACTAGTAGGCCTAAGCTAAGGCCCTAGGCCTAGGCTACGCTTGAATTGCGCTGATTGCAAAAAACACAGAATGGCTATGAACCGTTACAGATGATAGCTAAACGTATGCGTACACGTATTCTTTTGCGTGCGAAAATAATTATAGAATACATAGTTGAAAACATTAAACGTGCCTATACAATTTGGTTGTTTTTCAGCTAACTGTACTATATTAAAATGGATTATTTTCATGTAGTGCCAACCACAGGTCTCATGGTCTAGTGGAGGTGGTATAAGGGGGAGGGGGGTGGAGTGTCTCTTTACAATCTGTTCGGGGTGGGCAATTGCTTATTATTAGGAACTCCTAGTAGGAGTCCACCTCTGTGGCACTAATAGCCATATTATCTTAAGTGGTGGGAATGATTGATTTAATTTGTAAGATATTTTCATTAATGCCAAATTTATTTCCCAGTTTATCTGTGCTCTTGCCTGAATTTATTTTCTTTAAAAACATTTTTAAATTGATGAAAATGTCAACCCATAAAAAGGTCGAGTTGTTTTTCCTGAGATTCATTAAAAAAATAATAGAGTATGATTCAAATGTTTACAAAGTTTAAGAGAATAGGAAAGTTGATGAACCGTGGATGAACGTACTTATAAACAAATTAAAGAACAATAGGAGAAAATTAATGAAGAATTATTATTAATTATTACCAATTATTTGTAAAATTTTTTATAATTAATTTGAATATGAATATATGAAAGGTGAAATTTGAATGTGTTGTTTGTTTTGATTTTTTTTTCATTGAAAACTCTTGTACTCATTCATAGTCTTAAGTGATGTGCAATTACTTGTCTTAGGTTGGGACCAAACTTTTTTTATGTTGTCCAATTCTACAGTTTTTAAAGCTATGTGCTTGTGAGTGTGAGTTCTAAATGTTGCTGGTAATTATACATGAACTAAAGTGAATTTATGCTGTAAACATAGCATCTGGGATAATGAAATGATGTTGAATTATGATAATGCTGATTATTTAGTTTATGAACTGCCTTAAATTTGATGATTTGTGATGTCATTGATGGTACTCCACCCACCTATGCTGTAGTCGTCTCCACTGCTGTGGTATTCATCATCCCTCAAGTTCAGTATTGAATTTGTAGTCAGGTTTTTTTTCTCCTACATCTACCCCATAAAATAGAGCAAATTTCTGGCTTTGCAACCAATGCTGTAGGCACGGTATCTTTAACACTTAATACATTTAAAAAAATTACAATTTAAAAGCATCCAAGCAACCAAAGGCTAAATTGGGAATATACCTTACAAATTACAATCAAATTTCAGAAACATAAAACTATGCAAAATGTATTTAAGTTTCACTCTCAGAAAATGAAAAACAGTTTTTAAGAAGCCCTGCAATTAAAAACATTATTCAAAACACTTACTTGGAAAATTATGAAAATATAATAAAAATATTTGGTCTAAATATGAATCGGAAATGGAAATGTAAATTAGACCATTGTCAATTGTATTTGCCTATAATCAGATTAGGTGCATACCTCTATTCTAAAGTACAAAGAACTGTTCTTTTAATTATTATTTGATTAGCCATAGTTCAAATATATAGTTACAAGCCAAAACCATTATCTAATATCTAATTTTGATTACTATGGCTGGTTCAACAATTAAGTGTGATAATTACGAGGGGAAATAAGAGAAAATTATACATGATGGTAACCATGTTTGTGTGCTAATCCATAATTTAAGGAATAAGCGTTTATTTGCACTAAATTACTAAGCAATAAATACATTACTCAGTAAATATATTACAGTGGAACCTCTATATTATGAATTCCCTTTTTTTAGTACACCCCATCTCGCCGATGATGTCATCGATGAATGTGAAAATCAGTATTTTCAACACCTAATATGTCAATAAAATCATTCTAGTTTGTAAAATAAAATGTTCCTGTGCGTTTCAACTATCGTATCATTTGTGTTTTCTATCATTAGTCCAGTATTTGATCATAATTTTGACGATATGTAATGGCAATTTGAAAAAAAACCATGCCGAAAGTTTATTCAAATGATCAATAAACCATGGGGTGCTGCGAAAGTTTTGTTTGTTTTCCCATGCATTAGTCGGGGAACATCAAACAACGTGCATGGTTACCAATGTTTTCAAAGATTATCTTGCCTAATTTTGGTATAGTACATCTTGACATGGCCTTACACTGTACTTGGCACATGGGTATACGAACGTACCTATGTACATCGTACATACATACGTATAAAAGTACATATCAATTTGACCCGACCACAATTTTACCAATTCTTCAATTTACGTACACCATTTGGTCCCGTACTGCACGTAAAATCTTGCTTCCACTTTAACCACTTTGGCGTAAAACCTATGAGCTTACTGGCAATTATTGTCTGAGTGGGGTCCTTTAATGAGCAGGACGTGAAAAACAACCAAATACACCCTTAAAACACCAGAGGTTTCAGAGGGAATTCATGTTTTCTCATCTTGCCCCATTTGAGGCCCTACATGTCCCCCAGCCCAGAGTAGTAGGCCTCAATTTTAGGTAATCCCAAATCACAGTTTAATATTTTTGGTGAACCCTATGTAGACATCGTCAAGTCCGAAATCTGGTAATTTTAATGCTTGTGTTTTGTAATTGTTAAAAAAATTATTGGTATTTGCTTGTAATCAGTGCTAAAGTTTAGTATTGTTCACAAAGTAAACAAGGGAAATTTTATTCAATTTTTACTTGGTTTTTACTTGTTTATTGTACAAGTATATATATTGTATAGTATATGTTTATTTTATTTGAATAAAAAGAAAAACAATGGTTTCAAGATCATACCCTTTTGCTGTGTAATATTGTCTTGCTAATTGGCATGCAAAACTATGGTTTTGATAACTCTATCCCCACACGTTTTTCACCAGGCACAGGATTTATGCACTAGTAGTACACACACCCATACACATTGTCGTAGATTTAATTTAATTCAAATTTAAAATAGCAGCTACAAAACCCAAAATATACATGTAATGTATTTACTTGCTAAATGAAAAACCAAGAATAATAATTTATTTTTCAGCAGACCTGCTATCATGTAATTGCCCACAATTGATTGATCACATGACTGAATGGTGTAAAAGCCCTTTAGGCAGATAGTTACATCAGACCCTGAATAAAGGCTGAATTGGTTGAATGGATCAGCTGGGTTTAACCAAAAAGTGAATCAGTTCAGCTAAGGCCGTGTTTATACCACACTTATTATGAACAAGCATCTATGGTTATATAACATATTATATTGCTTGCAGTCAGCCCAACTTCATTTTTTTTTTATTTCTTTAACAAAAACGTGTATTTTAGTCAAATAGTTGTAAAACACGAAATGGGACAGAAGGTAAAATCGAGCACGTTTTTATTCCTTGATATGCTCAAAAAGAGGCTTCGCCAGCTAAGGGCTTAATATACTGTACCTTCATTGCACCTAAAACTTTTTTTAAAGAACCAGTAAAATTTTGCCCAGTCACAGTGTTCTTATTTTTTTTGCCGATTTCAGGCTCAAAATGTTCTTATTTTGTTCTTATTTTTCAAAGATAGAAAAATATTATTGTAGAGCAGTATATTACTGTACTGTATTATAGAAGGGTAATACTGTAATAATAATAACTTAATTGTCTTTTTTGAAACAGAGGCACAATACTTGAATGAAAAGTGCAACAATAACAAAATGTAGAGAAAAACCTCTTAATAACAATCATCCAGTATGTAAAAATATGCATGTCATTAAGAGAGAGAAAAAAAAAACAGAACTGTAACTACTTAAAAAGTAATTAAAATTTTAATCTGAAATGGGAAGTTATATTAAGATTCAATGCCCATAGCCAGCTGTTGGGACAGTCCCACACAATTTTTCTATTGAGTCCACAAAGAATGGGTCCACGTTATAAAATTTGATCCAGATTTCTCATATTTTGTGTAAAATGGGTCAACTTTAAAGAAAATGGGTCCAGATTTCTCATATTTTGCTTAAAATGGTTAAATTTTTAAGAAAATGGGTCCAAAGTATTCATATTTTTGTGTAAAATGGGACAACTTTTAAGAAAATGGGTCCACATTATTTGAATTTATGCATAAAGTGGGTCCACCCTGATATTGTTGCACACTGTTTAAAAATCCTGGCTACTGCATTGTTAAGATTATAAAACAAATATACATATCATATTAACTGTGTATTGTAAATGTCACCATGTTCTTTCCATGCAGAAGTTAAAAATATTTTACAATATTTGCACCTACTGCACAAAGGTACAGAACTTTACAGTAACCCTTTTAAATCTTAATACTTTATATGACTAGGTTGATTTGTTGGCGTTCCTTTTTTTTTTTTTTTTTTTTAATATGAACCTCATTTGGAAATTTACCTCAGCCTCAATTTGTTCTTTTTTCAACTTCTTATTTTTTGAGTAATTTCAGCCTGAGTGATAAAATGTGTTAAACTTATATAAAGATGTAACTAGTTCATCGACTTTAATGTTTGCGGGACGCTGTTTAGCGTACACGACGGTTTTCAAAAAGCCATGCTGTCAGTCACAGTATTATTATTATCATTTGCATTTTCTTCATGTGATATCTTTGTTCATTATAATTTAAAATGATCATTCAAGAAAAATTTTAATTATATTCCTTAACTATGCGCTGCTATTACATCATAATTGTCATTTCAAACAACATTGTCTGTATAAAATCAATACTAGTGATGTACCCAAACAAAACTGTTCATGCCAGGCCATGTTTTGATTGATATGTTTTCATATTGTCTTTCTTTCAAATTCTGTTTATAAACCTCCCTACCACTTAACTGGTTTGATGATAATGGTGTATTTTATTCTGAAATAATATTCAAGATGGCATATGGAGATATTTATATAATGTTGGAAGTTACTATCATGCTGTGTTCTCAAGGATATTTACTGAGCA